GAATCTTTGATTGATCTATTAAAGTACGGTTGATTTTCTTTATTAAAACCCGTTTTTTCCCCCTTTTATGTTGTAGAAATATTGACAGCCTAATCAAAAATTTTGGCATTAAATGCAGTAGCTAAACACCGTCCATAGACTTATGTCATTTAGTGCAACACATCGTAAACGATGTAATAAGTTACCTCTCGCATTAAAATTGCACAATATAAAAATGGGCATTAGAATATATTGAAAATTGAAAATTGAAAATTTACCCTTCGATTCAGCCTTGGGTTTTGAAAAAAAATAAGAACCCTAAATTGAAGGTTTCATGTGCGAAGAAGACATAATAAAACCCAAGATGCCAGACAAAGTTGTTGAACTAAAGATTAGAAAGGGAATATTTGGGAGTATGAAAAGGGAATTAGAAGGTAATGTGGGTTTATTTTTTGATTTCTCACATGCTAATAATTAATATCCCTTACATGCACTACCAAACAAACCCTCCTTTGTGGATCTCAGGCTCAATTAAAATGAGCCTACTTGTACTCTATCTATATATAAATTTCAAATTTTCCTTTTATGCTGACAATTTGGTCTTCCGTGTGATTAAAATTAATACACTAAAAACAAGTTCATCAAAAAAATATTTTTTTAGTGTAAAAAAAATGAAATTTGTATACTAACTTATAAGTTAGTATTTTTATATAAATTTAACATAAAAAAATCTGATGACATCCAAAAATAATGTATATTTTTTGGATATGAACCAATTTATTGAATCAAGAATAAAATTATGCAGCATAATATTGTGTGTATATAAGATATGTTGGGAAATAACTTTATCAACAGTTAGGTAATTTATATATTTTTTTTCAATAAATATACATATTTTAAAATTGAAGTGTCATAATTTAAACAACAACATAGACAATAGTAGGACATTTTTAAATATAATAAATATATATTTTTGTAAAAAAAAAAAAATTATAACCCAGTTGACTAGTCTAATAGTTAGATTGACTCGGATATATATTTGTATTATTTCAATTACCTATGCAGGCATATTAGCATCACTATATTATCATAGGCATGGTGTCAAATTAATTGTTTTGATTTAAACAAATTAGTATTAATACATTTGAATCTTCAGTATGCATCCAATTCGTGTACATATATAAAATTTTATATTACACGAATCATGAGGTCTAATACAAGATCCTAACCAAATAGCAATTTTGACTTTTGAGCACATTTTGCCGTATATACTCTATGTTTAATTTTATAAGCATACTACTAGATTCTTGAATAAAATTGTGTTATATTCAAAAATCTAGTTCAGTAAATGGAAAATTAACCAATTCCTTAGCATAGGCCAGATCGAGGATTCTTAGTAGTGCGTGCGACATTAATATTTTCACATTACGAGATTAACTAAGCGATATTATAATTAGCACAATATATATTTTTTCAACGTTTTTTAAATAAAGCATAGAAAGTGAAGTTTTTTAGGTTTCGAAGATGATCCATGTCTAGTTTCAAACAAAAATGAATAATCATAAGCTCCCTTGAATTAGGTCCAATTTAGGAAACCAATAAAGCATTTTTTTTTCCAAAAAATAATAGCTTAAAAATAAAACTATATATATACTTAATAAATAAAATTATTTTCAGTTAAAAAATATTAAAAATTACCGAGTCATACTAATGCTAAATTTTCTGAGACGTAGTAATAGCTTAAGAAATAAAATTACATTTAATAAATGCAATTATTTTCGGGTGAAAATATCAAATCTTACCTAATCATACTATTTTTAATTTTCTAAGGTATATTATTGTCGGGAAAAATAAAGATTTGACTTTGGGTGTTTCTAATTTTTATCCAGTAACTTTTGAGGGTATAAGTTTGTACATTAACATTTAATTTTTTATTAGCAATAGTATACTAATTTTATTTTTTTTATTAGCGATAAATTGCGGTTAAAGCCCCCAATTGAATTAAAGACTTTATTTGTATACGCATTGGATATCCGTCATATTTTTTTCTTTCAAACCTTACTTTTCTAATTGTAAACTCTAAAAAAATTTCAAATATTAGATGATTGAAAATATAATATTGAAATTCTAGCTTAGTGACAGTTCGAATTCACCATTGTTGACTTCGGCATACAATTTACAGTCAATCCCTTATACAGAATTAGTTAATGAACTCTACGGATAATTTACAGCTTATAATCTCATATATCCAAAATTTCTTAATTTAGTCAATGACCTCGTACTTATTTTTTTGTCTTTTCTTTATTTATAAATTTCGTCAAATTTATTTTAAATGTTGTATTCGTAATGAATAGGAATTTCAGTTTAAAATTCTAGACGCTATGTTTTGGATAAAATTGACACACGATACAAGTAATGTACATGTACTAATTCCAAGCTCAAAAAGTTTGTGGACAAAAATGAAAAACAGAAAATGTTAGTGGACTAAAACAGTAATTTTATTTTTTTCAACGATTATCTTGCAAAAACGTAGAAAACTCAATTTGTTGCAAAGAAAACTAATTATCTGCCTTAATTAATTCATGAGAAGAAAGAGAGAGAGAGGCCGAGGGGTTCCTTTCTGTTAATTTCAAGAATTTTAACCCGTCCTCTACGGGGAAGGACATCCAAAAGTGACCATATATCTTTTTGTGTTTTGATGAATAATAATAATAATATTTTATTCTTATTTTTTTTAAATTTTAAATTTTTCAATGTACTGTTGTGTAGCTCATCTATATTTTAAATTGTTTTGACTTGTGAATGAATAAAAAGGCCTTTCTCCTGTCTAGTGTCATTTTCCAAGATATACTATACTGTCCAGGAATTTAAACCATACACCAAATCCTCTTTCCACTTTCCCTTTGCTTCTAAAAACTCACCATATCCCCAACCCCTTCTCTCTTTCTGCAAAACCATCTCCATTTTCAAGAATTTGAAGGTAAAAAAGAGTTTTATCTTCACTCTCTCTTTCTTTTGGACATATCCTTTCCTTTTACCTTTTGAAGCTAAAAAAAGAAAACTCAAGAACTAGTCTTTTCACAACTTTTCACTACCTCACAAGAGAATTTAATCCCTCCCAACAAATCTCAAAGAACCCATAAGAGAGAAAAAAAAGATTGGGTGTTTATGTTTTTCTATCTTTTCTCTCTCTACAC